TGTCAGCAGGGCAGTTGGAGCAGTATTTTCCAAGAGACTGAGTGGTAAAAGGGGGTACAAACAAGGAATCAAGAGGGAACGCAGGTCACCTTGAAAGTATGCTGCTTGAAATCAATGTGCTGGAGTGCCTGCCCTTGGAGGTAGGCTGGAAGCATCATGTCATCACAGCCTTTCTGAAGGAGGAACACAAGGAGAAAACCATGCTGTGACACAAGAAGGAGAAGCTGCTCAGACTAACAGAGCAGCCAGAAAAAATCATCAAAGGCACTGCTGCCAAGTGCACAGGTGTGTGGAGCACTGTGGCTTCTCAGGTGAAACCTTTCATGTCAATAAACCACAGCTCCCAAACAGCTTAAAAATCCCACAGAAAGAGAGCCAAGAACACTTGAGGCCTTAAGTGAGTCCATAAAATTTTGTGAGTAGCTTTCCCACTGCCATGACACTATTTTGGAGCCAGTCTGACCAAAATAGAAGTTCACATGAAGTTATGGTGATTCCTACACTCTCCCTGGTGGAACTGTGTGTACGATAACAGGATGTTCCTATAGTGACCAACAGATAACTGTGGACAGATTCTTCTCTGGCACATCTGGCTGGCACATGTGTACATTTGGGCTGCTCTGACCAGCCAGCCCTGACACTGGCCAAGGTCAGTTGTTTTTCTGGAGGCAATAGTAATGGTGGTGAAGCTGCAGAATGATGTGTGTCAAGCGGCCTCCACAGATGGGTTGTATTAGCTTGTGTTCAGTGCAGTGGGATGGAGGAAGAGTTGGGGAAGTAGGAAAAAAAATCCTGAGAAGAATGAAAAGAGACAGTATTGTGTGACAAGGCAAGCACCTTTAACACAGCAGAATTTAATGCCATTGCCTGTGCTCTCAGCAGCCCCTCAACCCTGGGATGCACTGGGTCTTCAGAGGTTCCCCATGCCAAGCTGTCTCTGAGATTTCAGGGACTATAAATACAGTGAGCAGACTAGAAAGGTTATTGTTATCTCTTTATTACCTGTTTTTGGAATTGATATGGCAATTGTTCCTCTTGTTAGCAATCCTGGAGCAGACAATGAAAGTAGTGATAATACTGTAAACTCAAGGAAAGTTACATGCAACTGTTTACCCTAGGAAGAAAAAGAAACCCAGGAAATTGTACTGGCTTAGAGAACTACTGTGGCTGTACCTCTCCTGCTGCAATTAACAGACACTATATAAGCCCTGTTCCTGTTTCAGCTGCTATAACAGACAAAAAAAACTCCAAACCCCCAAGAAATATAAGTGCAGTCACCTTATCATCCCGCTGCATCAACCAGTTTCTGCAGCACAGCTGTGGTTAAGAGAACAGCTAAAAAAGAAAATACAGCCAAGGCACCTTTATTTTTCTTGTTAACCTTTAACTTGAAAAAATAAACATATCTGGCATTCTTTCCCTTGAGACTGCTGGTGTTCTGCTAAGCAGCTGAAGTGATGTGCATGACGTGGCAGTAGACAGATCATGCTGTGTCCATGAGGTTTGCTGTATCAGATAGCAAAAAACTCACAGCAGTATTGTAGCTTGCTAAAATCCTTTATACAACTCTTTGAAATGTGCTGTTTGCATCCCTCTGGCTGGTTAGATCTCTGAAATAAAAGGGAGATTGTACTCCAGAATAAACTAACCTCTGTTCAGTGGTGCATTTTGCAAAACCTAATGCAGAGAAAGTAGAGTAAAACCTGAAGGTTATTTAATCTCGTATTTCAAGATGGAGTAAAGTATCTCCAGTTACTCCCCTCCCCTCGAAGCAAGAGTCTGGTGTGATGGCTATGACTCAGAAGTTAATTTGCTTGTGACTGAGATGATGTAAAAGTGGAAAGTGGAAAATGTATCAATCTCATTTGAAGCCTCTGATCAAGGCAGGAGAGGCCAGACAATAGCAAGCTGCTCTCCACCATTTCATGGAACAAATGTCCTTCTTTGGTAAGTCTATTGAGCAAATCTTACTACAGTGACCTCTGCAAAGGAGCACCAATAAACCTACTCAGCCCTGCCAGATTTGGTGGCCTCTTTTCCTGAGGCCTTGCAAAGCTCTGTGATCCCTTGTCCTGATGTCCCTGGAGTCCTTGAACATTACTGGTCTTCTCCACAGTGCTTTTCATTAGCAGTGAGCTACTTATCCTGTGCCTGCCTGCTTCATCCTCCTGACACTTTGTCTGGTGCTTTGCTGGGAAGGTCAGCCAGGCAGAACAGTTCTGATGTGTTTGGGAGGGAATAATTTATCCGTCAAGCTTTAATCCTTGAGAAATAAGTTCTTGGGGGGGATTTTGCAGGAAAATTGAGGTTAGTGGCAAGTCTCCAAGCAGGCACTTATCAGAATAGTGGAGAAGTTGATTAAACGAATCACATGGCAGAAAATAAGCTGAGCACACGTTGCTTTAGTCTTATGCTCACTTAAGGCGTGAGGCTCATAACCACTAGGAGTTTTCAGTCCCTGAGCCAGGGAACAGGCAAGTGTTGCGCAGACAACGTGACTGAAGAGCAGTGATATGCCACAGTGGCAGCCAACACGAAGCTCTGTTTTGCAGTTTGGCCTGGAATAAGTCAACATTGGCCTGGAGGATTGCCGAACTAGAATAAAGCCTGAGCTTTGGGGAAGCACGGACAGGACTGCCTGGAAGTACCCACTTGGGTAAATGAAGGTGTGTAGCCTCAACCCACAGTGCTCACATACACTGTGGAGCAACAAAGAACTGGCAATTCACTGCTTGGTCTTAACTGGAAGAGAGCAAAGGATGCATTAGGACTGTTGTATACCTTCAGGAGGGGGTGAATTAGGACCCAGAGCTGGGTCACCATGTCAGAAATCAGCATTTACTTCTCACCATTCCCTTACACTTCTGTGACATTTGCTAATTTCCATACCTGGAATCACCTGCTGTAGCTACAGACTGTAGTTACAGCTCTGAGGTGGTGGGAGGGCAAACTCTTTCATGTTGCTGTAGTTCCCCATGTTTCTTTGTTGGTGACTTTGTTGATGTAAGACTGCAGGTAAATAGTCTGTATGTACAGTGGGTCTGCAAGTATGTGCTGAAAGGTCATCTTTAGGGTATCAACCGTAAGCATATTAACCGAGATTTTTTTCTTCTGTCTCCATCTGGTGCTGTCCTCCAGCAGACTGCTTAGAACATGCTTGTGCTTGTGTTACTTGGGAGCTGAGTGTATAGACACATCCTTTACATTATGGGGGTGTCAGTGGCCTGACAAACACAGGCATGTGAGCTGAAACTATGACGCTGTTGCTTGTGTGCCCTGAGGAATGGAGCACAAGAACAGGGAAAGGAGGGAGAAACAGTGTTTCCTGGTTACAGGCCAGGTACAAGTTATCTGGTGTTTTAGAGAGACCACTGCTATTTTCCTGCTTCAAGTATCCCTGCGCAGTGGGAAGCAGGCTGTGCCTCAGCACAGCCAGTCCCCCTTCACAGGTCATGACTCGGGCAGCAGCTGGGCAGGATGCTCAGGGAAATTAAGCTTTAGCTACCTGACGTGCTGTGCACAACCCTCAGGGTAGTGACGTGGGGGGAATGGGTCAGTTCAGAAGAGTTCATTAGGAAAGAGGTGGTCCTTCCAAGAATGGAGTGACAGGGAAGAAAGGTGCTGCTGCCCCAGCTAGCTGTTATGAGATCACTACAGCTGCCCTACAGGAGTGAGATGAAATGGAAATCACTGATTTCTGAGGCTCCCTCTCACTCCAGCCAGGGCACCAGATCCCCTTGCACACCCACCTGTGCATCAGCTACATTGCATACACCTTTGCTCTGAGCTCTCCTGGAAGTATCAAAGGGACTTCCTGTGTCTAAAGTGTTCTCTTAGACCAAAAAATCATGTTTTAGAGAAAGAAAAGTCAGCTCTATTGAGTGACAAATATTAAAATAAACTATTTGGAAACGAAATTCCCATCTTCTTCCACTTAATCCAGTACATTTTGGTGCCTGCCTACGTGTCAGCAAACTCTGCACGGCCTCTGGAAAGTCTCTGTCTCCTGCTGTCTCACGGCCAACTCTGGCTGTTCTCTGTCTTCTCTGGCTCCTCCACTCTGCAAACCTGCCTCTGGCTCGTGCTCTCTGTCCCTTGCTCTGCCTGCCCCACTGTGCCCACAGGAGGTTTCTCCCAGCTGGTCCTTCCCTGAAAGTGACTTTTGCCATCCCACACACATCTTCTGGAAAATCCTGCCCTGGAGAGCAGCAACAGGTCCCTGCTGCCTGGCAATGCTCCTGAGCTCTGGCACCTTCCACACCCGCTGGGAAAATGGGCCTCAGCTCTCCTGCAGGGCAGAGGGGTGCCCTCACCTGCTGGTGGGTTTGAGGCATTCCCCTGATTAACAGAGGGATGCAACCCCCTGCCATGTGGTCTGTGCTGTCACTTGGGCAGGCAGGGGCAGAGTGGCCACTGACAACCCATGCCTGGCATCACTGTAGCTGACCTGATACAGTGGGGCTCAGCACTATGAGCACTGGCAGTGAATGTCCATCTGAAAAGAATCATGAAGACAAAAGTCAATTGTCTTCTCAATGCTGACCCATCTCTTGATGAAGGGAGCAGCCACAGACAGATCCCACCCTGTCATTTCTGTTCCTCTACTTTCTTGCTCTTCTCCTGACTGCTTCTGCCCCTGCCTGTGTGCTTTCTTCTCTGACCCCCTTGCTCTCACACTCATACATGCAGAGCCTCCCTCACATGCTTTCTCTTCAGGCCTTACTGTATGTAGCTCCCTGCCTTGGGCCAGGGCAGCTTTATTCTCAGCTCTCACTACAGCAAGAGCTGTTTTCTCTTTATACTTACTCTGAAAGCACAGTACCAAAAGTACATGGTGGCTTTTAGTCCCTTGGCAGTGACCTGATCACAGACCAACCTGACAGGCCATGGCATCTTTTATTAACAGCACTTTCTCACGGGAGCCCTTTGGCACTACCAGGAACCGTGTTCCCTACTCAGTGACTGGCTCTCACATCATATAATTCTCTCTTTCTTGACAGATTATGTTATAACCTATGATCACAGAAAGTCCTGATCCTCACGTTTCTCTGCTGTCACCTGTGGGCTCTTCCAGAGCCATGAAGAAGGGGGAACTCCAGCCCCACCATGACAAGACCGGGTGAGAAGTGCCTGTGAACAGCCACACTTTGAGAACTAGTTTTAATTTTTATTTTTAGCAGTTATGAAGGATGGAAATAATGTTCTCCATTCAGCGGTGAACCAGAGGAGCAGCTCTGCCTTCTCTCTCTGGGATTAGATTAAAGATAGTTTCATTAATGCGGGGAAAATATGCTAATTTGAGCCATTCTAAGCAAGGGATGAATGAAGCTCCCAGCACGTTACCAAGATTGGCTTCCAGGCAACACACTACCTCAGACTTCCCCTCAGATGGAAGGTGGCTTTTGGTGTGTCACATGGTGAGATGCCTGAGGTGTCTTGGCCTTCAGGGAGTAACGAACCTCTTCGTTCCTGTCCCGATCAAGGTGTCTGTGCTGCCCGAATGGTTTGCCACATGTGGGGAATCCAGATGCACTACAGAACAAACAGCCTGGGCTGTAACTTATATGGTTCTGTCTTGCTTTACCAAGACCTCTTCCTGTGTGTTCAACCTGGTTGGTTCCTGCCTGGCTTATTACTAAAGACTGATGCCTCACCATCCCAGCTCTATCTTACCCTTACAAATCTCAGGCTAACCCCATATTTCCTGCCCAGTCTTGCTGTCCTTTATGTATGGCTGTCCTTTATGTATTCCCTTTGCCAAGAAGTGCAGTGGACTGAGCTGTAGCAGACACTGGTGCCTTGTGTGACTGCTGGCAAGTCTAGGAGGTCTAAGTCCTTGTGAGAAATTTAGAGTCTCTCCATTCAGTATAAGGGGGCTCCATCCACTTCCAGTGATGACACAGATACTTAGCTTTCATCCTGCTGGCCCAAACTAGAGTCTGAGGATTTAATTCTCTGCTCTGAACACGAGATTTAGTCACTTAGATTCCCTGGTCCTTACAATACTGAACACAGCTCATAGGAGCAGCCTTGGAAAGCACACCTTTCTCTTTCTGGGTCTCATGGAGGGTGATCATTTGGGCCTGTGGTTAAGGAGTCAGGATGGTGCCTGTGTGAAAGTCCGTGAGGTACCATTGTCTCTGCACTGGGAAGGCCTTTGGCAATGCTTGGCTACCCTATGCAATCAATAAACCATATGCATCTTCCCTGTGAAGGGTTAATCAGAGCAATAAGGGGGCTGCATTGTGACTGTCAGGCACAAAACCACCACCTTTGTTTGTCCTCCTTGCTGCTTGGGTCTTCCAGGAGACCTCAGTGTTATGTGATCCTTTCACACCCCAGCCTCCCCCTTAACCCACACACTCTTGTCTGCACCCCCTTTGAGGGCAAGAACCTTGCTATCTCTTGTACACCTGCTGTCTCATGAAGTGCTGCAGTGAGAGTAAGCTGGGCCTGCAGCAAGCACTTCTGAGCATTTGTCACTGGAGTTGAACCACATTATTGTGAGGGAATTGCTGAGGGTAGGTAGGATAAACTTCTCCAAATTCAGATGGGTAGTGTAAGGCCACTGTTGGCTTGGCTAGAGAAGAAAAAGATTCCCTGCCCCAAGCCCTGTGGCTCATCTCCTAGTTATGCTGCTCTGTTCCTACGCAAGCTGTTGGTGTTGGCTTCTGCGTTCCCTGGAAGCAGACCTGCTGTTGCATCCTGCAGCTGCTTCAGTAACTCATCTTTCCTTCCATTCACAGGTCTTCCGCGCATGGCGACTCCACCCATGTGAGAGCTCTCTTATGTGAGTCCTCAGCAGCACATTGTGCTGTCTGTGGTCTGTGGACACTGACTGCCATCTAAGCAACACCACAGCTCCCTCCTCTCCCCCTAGACGCCACTGTCTTAGAGCCTCCATGTGCATTTGCTATGACATACATCAGTGTTGATGAGAGACAGGAACACTGCCGGGTGATCTCGAGCTGCCAAAATAATCAGCTCTGTGCACAACATGGCTTAAAGGATTTTTCGGTTAGCAGCATGCATCCACTAAAGAACCTAGACACTCACATTTTTTCTGGGGACTTCCACACTCTAGACTACTGCCACACGGGCAAGGCACCTTTGGCCGGTCCTGTGGAAAACCGGATGTATCGGAGCGTGGAGAACCTTCACTGGGCAACTGTTGCCGACTCTGGGCTGTATTCTCACTGCCGGAGCCTGGATAACGAGATCATCTTTCGCTATAGAGGCACCAGTCAGTGGACAGAAGGCTGTGTGGATGTGGCCCCAGTACAGAGCACGTCGGACTCTCCGAGAAACCTTTCTCTCCGTGCTAAACAGACGTCTCGATCGGCACAGAGCGTGCACCTCCCTCCCTTTGCCAAAGTGCCTCAGTGGCTCTTCCCTTCTGCAGAGGAAAGAGCCTTACATGGGGATGCCAGAAAAGAGCTGAAGGAGAAGCTGAGGCTGCACAGCAGTAAGGTGGCAGAGCCCTGTAAGCCAGTGCGTCCCCAGGTGGCCCTGCCTGACCTGATGGCCCGGGAGTTCTTTGAGTGCCAGGTGTGTCGGCAGTGCAAGAACGGTTGTGCTGTCAACTACTGCACGGTGTTGGTGGAACACACTGCCCTCAGGCACGGCCTCACAGGGAGACAGGGACTGTGCTTTGCACACAGGATCATCAGTCCAGAAGACATCAAGCAGGAGGCTCAGAGGAGGCTTCAGCTCCGAAGGCAGAATAGCTCCCCCAGTTTGCCCCTTCAGCACACAGGGGAAAGCCATGAGATGGGCAAATCCAGAACAGCAGAAACCCTAGAACAATACAGTGGGGAAACAGATGGCAAAGTCACATTGGGACAGAGCAAGAAAGGTCGCTGTAAAGGGAGGCTCTACATACCCACCTTTGAGGAATTTAAGCAGATGAGAAGAAAGGAAGGAAATTCATCTGCCAGCAGCAGTGAGACAACAGAGTGCTTGAATAAGGGTCTGCCTGCAAACCAGACACTGGAGGAGGAAAAGAATGTCTGTCCAGAAGCTTTGGGGACCAAAGCTGCCAATGAATCTGCTGTCACAGCGGAGGATGATGACGATGTATTCCACGAAAACCACACCTCTGCTGGCTTTTCCCAGTATCCAGCCACATGGGATGGTTTCAGGATGAGCAGTCCTGAGCTGAAGGACAAAACCTTCCATACCTCTAGCCCAGATACATCGCCAGTCCCTATTTGCTCCAGTCCAATTCCACGATCACCTTTACAGGCAGTAGCAATACACAGAACTGGGCAGGAGATCTTGAGTGATGAGCAGCAGAAAGGAGAGACAAGAAAATTAAATGATGTCCTCCACCTTGCAGGGCAGTCCCTGGCTTCTGAAGCCCAGTCCTCTTGCTGTTCATCGCTGCTGTTAGAAGCTACAGACTTATCCAGCTATGGAGCTAAGCTACAAAAAATGAAGGATGAATTCATAGGTTCAGCCTTGGAACTTATTAAGAAAAGGTAACATGCTCCATGGGGTCACCTGAAAGCAGTTCCATTGTTAATGATCTCGTCTTTCTCCTGATATGTACATTTAAGTCCTGTAGCATAAATGTGTTGTTGGCAGAGCCTTTGATCTTAGAGTCTCTGATAGCCACATGGACGTCTTTAAGCTGTTGAGCTTAAACTCCATCTTTGCGCAGGATTAAACATCAAAAAGCATTTTCATCTAGACTTCGCCTTTTTATGCACCTTAATCCTATAAAGACAGCAGCCATTAGTTCTGACACCCAAATTCCCACTTGTTTTATTTCTGCATTAAATTGTTGAAATGTCTTTTTTTTTTTAATCATCTGTTAAAAGTAGAAGACAGACGAGGGATACAAAGTACTAATATGATTCCTTTGAAGAAAGATGTAGAGTCTGTCCTACCACTGCAGGACGTGAATTTAGATAGTGTGACATGCAGCAACAAGTGCTTTCACTTGCTGCCTGTATGAAGTGAACCAGCAAACAAGAGCAAGGTGGCTGCTATGAGTCTTTAATCACCTTTTGTAGAGCCACACAGCAGCGAGTGAAAGCGCTTGCAAATACTGCCCTTCTGCCAACTCAGTGTAGGCAGCGAGAGAAAATGGTTTTGTAAAGTCTTCCTTCATCTTCTCCAACCATGGTTTCCCCCTTCTTTGGGAAAGATGTCCACAGGACTGCTTTTTCTCTATCTTGGTTTTGGACACTGCAGTCCTGTTACCTCCCTCCTGCCAAAGAGAAGTGGATCCCTTTCTATGCAGAGTGGCTCAATAGGAATCAGCAAAGTTCTAGAAGCTAAGGATTTGGGGCAGTTATCACTGTCTTATCACGATGGGAAAAGGCTGATGGAAAAAGGAGGAATAAGTGTTGGTGGAGTGGTTTATTTCCATGCACTTGGCTTTCATAACTGGCTTTGCCAAGAATTGCATTTGACTTGTTTCCTGGCTGCTTCTGCAATCCACAGATCAGTGTGTGAAATGCCAGGGCATCAACCTTGTATGCTGTCTTGCTATTTCTGGAATGCATGGGCTCTGAGACCGGACTCAGGTTTTGGAGGAGACGATAGTGACTTCTGCACAGGAGTGAGAGTCATCTGAAAGAATTTCTGTGGAGCTGAAGCAGGGTGACAAGCAGAAATACTTCTGCAACTTTACATTCCAAAGGGAGGTGGGTGGTGTCAGAGCCCTAAATGCTTCCCTCAGCTGTCCAGCCCAGCTCTGTGCTTTTTTTCTAGAGTATGAAAACCCAAAGAAGCAGATGAGAAAGCTGTAGTATGCAGCCATTTTCATTGAGTAGGTTATTTTTGTCATGGATGTGAAATGAAATACACAGCCTGGCACAAGCCAGGAGTGTAGGAAGAGCTGCCTCCATGCAGATCAAAGGTTTGACTAGTATCTGGAGCCCAAGGTGAATGCATAGCAAAGTACAGGAAATGGGTAGTGCATAAGATCTTTCTTCCCACTACTCTCCTGGCCTCCAAACACTTCCTGCCCGGGGCCTCTATGGTTTCAGTGTGGTTTCTTTGCTTGTAATATCTACAGTGGTTTTTGTTTCTGTGAATGTGTTCAGTCTCCCTAGTTGGATATATTAAAATCTATGAAGTGATTTTATTAACACCAAAATGATAGTTGATCTAAAAATGAGAATGACAGTGGTTCCAGTATGAGAGAGGTTGTTTCATGTGAAGGAACCAACCTGGCCTGTTTATTTTCCGTAATAATAACATCAATTAATGGTAATTGTTATTGCCAAAGCTCTTGTTAGTGGGAAAGTTGAGTTTCTTTTTTATGGAAATTTCTCATTTTTCCATCATTTTCACCTGAGACTGTAATGTGCCTGAATATTCACAATTCAAGCTGATTCTCGCTGCAGGGGTGGGAGACTTTTTATCTGGATGTTTTGGGTCCTAAATTATGATTGTTGACAACCAGGCCACATTTTTATAACTTCTAAATGAAATGAGCTGAAAGCTGAGGATTCAGTCCCATTTCCACTGATACTGAGCTCAGCAAGCCCTTGACAGAGATGTTGTGATGGAGTGTCATAGAATAAAATACCTAAAATTGTCTTCTTTCTAGTGGTTCTGTGTGTCACAGTTTTACAAAGCAGTTTTGTCTGTAAGTTAACTGTCTCCCTAGCAATTCATAGTTAATTTGTTAAGACTCATTCAATTGACTTAATATTTCACCAGTGAAGATTTGATTTTCAGTCTTGAAATTATGGCAGCTTTAAGCCCCTCACTGGTCACTGTATACCTTTAATTTAGGTTGTAGTCCTGGCTGGGAAGGGGTGTTGAGATCTAGGTGGAAGTCCTGTAAGCATTTCAATATATAGTCCACTTTCTGAAATTGTTAAATGGCAAATTGTTCAGGATAAGGGTATGCAAGGACCAGGGGGGTTGTGTCTATGAAATGGGAGACATGGTGACAATAGAAACCTGCACAAGGTAGCAAAGGACGTGACTAAGAAAGAAGACTTCCTGGAAAGAGTGTTGTATTTGGGATGGCACCAGGGCGGTGGATAGAATACCAGCTTCCCATAGTGGAGGACTTCAAGTCAGGAAGGGAGGTGACAGCAGGGAAGGCGTGCACAAAAATGTTTCCATGAGTCAGAAGGAGTCAGGAACATGTGAAAAGGGCTGAGAACTGCTGGCCTGAACAATGATACAAGCATGAAGAGGCCCATAGAGACCATGAAGGAAAGTAGGTGCATTTCCAGTTGTACACCACACCCCTGGTACTTCTGCTTCCATGAGATTCAGAGATGATGACCCAGAGGTTTAAAAAGACTTTCAAAAAGAACGTATCCTCCCTGTGCTGGCCCAAGTGCATCACCTGTCTTGGGGGAACAAGAAAAACTGACACCAATCCCAGGCATAAACTGCTGTCCCAGTAAGTGGTTTGATCCCAGAAGGAAATATGCCAGAGTCCCCCCCTTCTGCAGCTCTGCATGAGGGCAGAGGGAACTGCTTGAGCAGGCAGTGGTGCAGACCTGTTGGCCGCACAGATCTCTGCCAGGAAGAGGGGACTGGAGAAAGGGGCAATATCCTGTTTTCTTGGCAATGTCCCCTCTTCCTCCTAACCAGAGGCAAAGGTTAAAGCCTGAAGCTGTGGTTCTGCAAAACTGCTTATATCCTCCCTGTTTTGCCCACATCCCTCTGGTCACACTCCTAGTGAGTGAAGCAGCACTTGTCCCAGCAGTCAAAGCAAGGATGAAGAAATCTCCTTTCACAAAAGGTGGGCTCTGCATCATTGCCTTTTTTTACCTCTCGCTGACCAGCCATGGGGTGGGTTAAATTTCTCAGTCTCCAGTAATGTTTCCTTAGCTCAGCTCTCTGGATACTATTGGCTCTTATTCCCACTGCAGGTCATGGCTGGAGATTTTTTTTAAATATTCCTATTGGTTATGGAAACCACAATAAGTGGTGGCATCTGGTCTGCAGAGAGCTGCTGTCAGCTTCACTTAACGGAGCAGTAATGTCCTGGAATACTTCCCATATTTAAGTGGATGATTTTGAAGCACTGTAAAAATGACAAATGAAAGCTCAGCATCTCTCTCAGAGTCTGGTCTGTGTGGTGGTAGGTGGTGTGATCAAGAAGATAATATTTCAGTTTTGAGCTCTGCTACTGACCTTGGACACATCCCCATTGCCTCTCTGTGCCCCTTTCTGTGTGTTCGAACCAGGAATGGTTTGAGCAGGAGCAGCTTTTGGAAAGGGTGGTTTTCCAGCAGTAGCACATCGTCCTCGAGAGTTTTCTTGCTCCTTAACCTGTGCCTCCCCTCCCATGAATGTGCCTAGCTGAATTGTTCATACTTTACCCAACTCAGTGAAACATTTATGAAACGATCTGGCTGGGAATACATGAGGTCAGGTATATTTTTTAAGCCCATATAATTTCAAGACTGATTTTAGATCATAGCCATACAGACAGTTACACTGGGCTGAAGGAGTGGCATCCTAAGCGTGGCTGGGGACAGGAGGGAGGAAGGAGGCAGGAACCTCTCAAGCCAGGCCAGGCCAGGCCAGTACCATGATGTGACCACAGTCTTGCTGTGTTCCTGTGCTGCTCTTACTGCAGCCCTGTAAGGGGGCTGGCACAGTCCCTACTACAGACTGCTTCGTGACAGTGCTGATGTTGGTATCCCCTTTCTGCAGGCTGGGCAGTAGAGACCTGGAGGGTGACAACAAAAAGTGAAAGCCGTGAGCCTGCTGTTGGCACTGTTGGCACTGTTGGCGTTGCTGCGCAAGCGACGTCTAAACTCTTTTTAACTGGTAGTGTCAGCAGAGACTTGGAACCATAAATGGGGGAAGATGAAAAAGCATAAGCTGGAAAGATGCAAACCAACTTTTCTGGCCTGACAACAGAGACGGCTTGTGTCCTGGGAGATTTGTTCCCTCTTCAGCAATTTCAGTATTGGCTGATGGTTTGTTATCGGAGCCAACTGTCACTCACTGTAAGGAGAATGCCCATCTGTCTCATGTGTTTACTTGTAGCTGACACTGTTGGAATTGCATATTAGCAGTACGACCTATCAGCATAAGTTCACAAATGAAGCCTTTAAGAAGAAGTTTTTTCTCATAGGAGATTTTTGTTAAGCATAAAATATATGCATAACCTGAAATATGTTCCAGACTTTGGCTTCCTGTATATACAAGCGTCCATATCCAGTCCTCACAACCTTGCTTTGTAAAGGGATCCAAGTCCATAAAAATAAAGTAAATCAAAAATAAAAAAAAAATTCTTCCAAGCAGGCTTCATTATGCATGGAAATAAGGTGTCTCAGAGAGTCTGTTAAAAAAATGTATCACAAGTAGTATCACAAATGACAGCCTGTCAACTACTCTGTCAAGTCAGTGGTTTTGCACCAGACTGTGTCTGTCTGGAGAGGTGGTGGTGTCTACAGAGAGGGGAGCATGGGGTTGGAACAGGCTGTCTATATCGGCCAGACCAGGCCCTTGTTAGCTACAGACAGCCACGAATAAGGGCATCTCAGAATTGCCAAGTGAGAGCAATAGACTCTGCCAATCTTTTCAGGTCTCTTAAGTGCACCAAAAGGCCTGATCCTGAGATCACTGAAAGAAGGGGGTATCTTTCCAGTGGTTTCAGTGGGCTTGGGATCATAAGAAATGAAAAACAGAGGGAAAGCTCCTTTAATCCTCTAATCCCTTCAAAGTATTAGGGTTTTTAGCAGGTTTTCTTCCAGATGAGCAGTATGGTTTCTGTGTTGACAACATCTCTTTAAATAGCAGCAAATATGGATATGGCCTACTTAGAAGATTTTCTGGTCCCTATGGAGAACTTCATGTTTTATGGACACAAAAATGCCCTGTGAACACCCAGACTGATGTTGGCAAAAGCGCAGTTACCCAATTTGCACTGTCTTAATTGAGCTGTGCTTAGAGCCCCTAAAATGCATATACAGCCATCCATGCTGACCAGTCATGATTCCTGCCTGCACTTGCCCTGGACTGTTGCAGATGGTTGTTAAAACTGGGGCTTGCTGCTCAGTCTCATCTGTGTCAGGAACAGCAGGAGAATTGCATCCATGATGTTCATCAGAATCTGCTTCTTCCCTTGCAGCTGCAATGCTGAGACTGCTGCCAAATCCCCCTCTAAGGGACAGTGTGATCTGAGGGAAACTGATCTCCCACCTCCGGAGGACAGCCAGCAGCCCACAGCGATGTCCATGGCAACAGAGACCTGGGAGAACAAGCCAAGCAATGAGACAGCCAGCGCCACTCCACCTGCAGGGAATGTAAGGGAGAGGAATTCACCTCTCATCTTGGGCACCTGTTCAGGATTTTTTCCTCATTAGAAGCTCTGAAGGATCCCTTGGTTGTAGGATCTGGGCAGGCTGGGAGCCTTCGATCTGAAATCACACCAACTTCCATAAGTGATTAAACTCTGTTAGAAGCATTTCTAGTGCCTTTTTTATTACAGTTAATGAAACAGAAGTCGGTTTTGTGCCCCTGCCTATGTGCCACTGCATTTCTTTCAGGGAGTTCAGCAATAATGACTTCATGGCTTCCAGAGCATCTGGGAGATCAGACTCCCTCCTAGTTCCCTCCTGGTCAAACTGCTGATGTCAGAAAGGCATGGAGGATGGAGCTGTGGACCCTGCAGCACCAAAATGTTCACAGAACAGAGGCAAGATAGCTCAGAATCCTGGGGACAGGCCCCTGGCCTGGGCTGTGCTGTTGACTCCTTCATGGGTATTTGACAGCCATGATCCAACCCCCTCGTGTTCTCAGAGCTACACAACAGCAAAGGGAAAGGTGTTCTTGCTCTTAGGACTGAGCAAGACAGAGGGACCAGGGGGAACAGATTCCTTAATGATCTTGTAGTGGAGCTGCATTTACAATCCCACTGCTGATGAGTTACCTTTCCTCTCCTTTGGCAACTAAAGTCCATTGGGTGCAGACCAGGTGCTGCTTTGACCACAGCCTTGCTCTAAACCCTTTTCTGCCTTTCTTGCAGACCCCCAGTCCTGGCTGTCGCCGATCCAGCTCCGACATAGTCCATGAGAGCACGGATGGTGCCAAGGCCCAGCGGGAGTGCCGGCTGCGGCCACACTTCAGTGACCCTATGCCGACAGACTCGGTGAAGAGGAAGCAGCTGGAGCTGAAGATCGCGGCTGCAGCGCGGCAGCACGCGCAGAAACGCCGGCAGGAGCGAGACTATGGTACACACTCTGCACTCTCAGAGGGGCTGGAGGGTCAGATGCTGAGCCTGCTGTGCTGCTGTAAATATGGAGTAACTCTATGACCTGGGGAAGGGAAGCATTCTGGGTTGTACCCAGGCATGCAAGAAATCAGGATTTACTCTGCTGCGTCTCTGTCCCTGTATGGCAGGGGAAGAGGCAGACCAAATGAGGTCACAGGTGTGGGCAGTGCAGGGGTGACAGGCTCCAGGCTTCACCTGGGAGCCATTTGCTTCTGACTCTCACCAGTCTCAGCAGCAAAACAGGGAGGGGAGGCAGCTCAGAGCCCTGCTTCACCAGATGTAGACTGTCCCTGCAGGATTCCTCATGGTGAGAGATCCTCAGGTGAGCTCTGTGCAGCTGGCAGTGCCTGTAATGATTTGTGTCTGTTCTCAGGTCCAGTGGTAGCAAAAGCCAACCTTGGCCATGGTGGCAGCTTTGATGAGACTCGCCGTGCCCCACGTGGCTCCCTCCGCTCCAGGCACCATTGGAGCAATGTCAGCAGCCTGAGCACAGACAGTGGGATTGTTGGCGTGAATGATGCCCGGGACGACCTGGATCCCAGCGAGGGCACCCGGACCAAGTCAGCAGATGTGGAGAGGGCAGATAGTGGCATTGGCCATATGCCAACCAGGAAGTGGAGGAACAGGGCATCTGAAACACTGAGCTCCCTGCAGGCCTGGGAAGCCCACCGTCCCTGCACTGACTGTGGAGAAAGGGACCTGCCGGTGGAGACAGATGTTCAGAACTGCAACCAGAGGCGGGCTGACCTCTGCGAGAAGTGCCGCAAGCGCAGGACGGAGCGCAAGGAGTCTGTGCTGGAGTTTGTCAACACAGAGGCCAGCTATGGAGAGGACCTGCGCATCATTAAAGAGGAGTTCTACCTCCCCATGCAGGCGGCCGGGTTGCTGAGCCAGGAGCAGCTCCAGGGCATCTTCAGCAACATCCAGGAGCTCATTGACCTCAATGAGAACTTCCTGGAGATACTTCAGGAAGAGATCGATCAGGCCTTTGACCAGGTATGATGCTGTGTGCTCTAAAGGGGCTAGACAAGGCAGGCAGGAATAGGTTTTGTGTCAGTGGGGCAGCATAGGTGGAGCAGAGGAGCAGGAGGTAGGATTCCTGGGTTATGGTCATCTATCTAGTCCCTTGTTCCCTCAGCTATTGTAAACTAGTGATTTCAGAAGCTGTGTGCCAGGTCATAGCTGCTGGCCCACTCTCTGCTGTGGTAATGCCACTGACCTCACACGCCACCAGCAGTCCCATTAACAGGACCTAATGGTCCCATTACCAAAGTTAGCTCTAAGCTGGTTAGCCTGGATGCTGGTAAGAGTGTGACCATGGGGGCACAAAGCTCAGCTTGGTCAGTCTCTCAGGCCATGCTCTTGCAGCCCTGAGCTGACTCGCTTCATGCTGGCTTGGCTGTGCTTGCCTTGGCTTGCAATTTACTGCAGCTTGGCTCTAGGCTGGCTGCAGGGCCAGGCAGCACAGGCTGCTCCCTGCTCTACGGCTCTGTGTACTGGCTGTGTACCACCCTATGCACCCTGCCTCGCACAAGGAGCTTTCCTGCCTCACTAACATGGTGGTCAGAGGGCAGAGAAATCGAAGTAAGACTAGAGCAGCAGACAGTCACTTCAAAGAACATTTAAACAGCTCAACACCCTTTTCTTCAAGAAACCAAACCCCACTTGTTGCTGTGTCAGTTTCTCCGGGATGTTTTGCTCTCTAGGAAAACATCCCTTCTCTCCCTCTCTGAAACCCTGCATGTCAGACTGAGTGACATATGTTTCAAAAGCTGGCAATTTGGACAACCACTCGTGCACCTGGCACAGTGAAGACAGATGTGCACAGCCCGTTTGATGGTCCTTGTGAATAATTTATTGAGGCAATGGTTTCTACAAACAGCCATGGGTTTCCCCATCTCCTCCATCTTGCCTTGGCAATCAGAGCTCAGTACTGTACTGAAAAGCTGCCAGCAGCCAGAGAACTGTTCCCTCTTTTGCTGGTGAAATGAGTAGTGATTGCAGAGCATGTCAGCAGCATATACCTTGACAGAGTTAAGAGCATTATGTGGCACCAAATTCTTGCTATTCTCATAATTTATTATGCATCCAGAAATCAGAGGACAGTTTACCATGGTATTTATTTTTCCCTCTAGGCATCAAAGTAGGCCAGTAACACAACTGAAGGAGACTGCTTCCCAGCCAGGCCAGTTGCTGGGAGCAACTGCAGAAGTTGTTAGGTGCCATGTGTGTTACTGAGTTACAAGCCTCTCCTTCACATTTGCTCCTGAATGCTCTCTGTTAATTTATGCACTGCTGCAGGACCCCAGTACATGCTCTTGAATAGAGGCTCACTCTGGCCTTTGAGCCCCTGCTCTGGTGAGCTGGCTGAGTGCACAGGAGGAGGGAAGACAGCTCTTTGTTGTGGAAGAGCAAGCAGTTAGACCAGCTTTCCTTCCCCTCCCCACCCACTGCTTCCCTGGAACCTGCAGAGACTGCCTTTCCACTAGGAAGGGTGAGCCCAGCTCCACCTTTGGTCTGGTGCTCACCAGATCCTGCAGCAGGGTCATGCTGACAGGACTGAATGCAGGCTCCGTGGCTGTGTTTCTCCTGAGCTAACCAAGCAGGGGATCTATTGCATCCTTGCAGGGGGATGATGACCTGATGACTGTGTGCATCGGAGAAATATTCCTAGAGTTTGTCAACATGCTGCCAGCCTTCCAGACCTACTGCCTCCAGCAGTCCTCCTCTGTGAACATGCTCAACGCACTGGAGAAGGAAAAGGAGTTGCTCAGGTGAGAATGTGGCTATGTTCATCCAGGCTGTGGGGACAGAAGGGCACCAGGCTGAGTTTGAAGCCCTTGTCAACCCAACTAGATCAAAGTTTGATGCTAACTTTCTTCAGTTACCACTCTGTTGGGGTGAGGACAGTAATGTAATCTCCAAAGAATACTGAGTTCTTGGTATCTCCACTGAGGCAACCAGTTGGTCACCAGCTATGTTTTGTGGTAGCAGTGTCTGACCACTGCACTGAACTGTCACCAAATAATGCTCAGCTGAGAACAGCTCTCAGTCCCTGTGCCAGAGCCCAGGTTGGATTTCCACTGGGGAAAGCCACCGTGAGGCACACATGATTTGAATTTGTTTCCCGTTCCTAGCCCCAGCTTACTGGAACGTCAGGCGAATAATTTGTCTTTCCACTGCTCGGCTTAAAATGATGACGGTACCAAATTCTTGTTTAGAATGCTGTGTAATCTGATGTTTAAAGGTGCTACAAATTAATATAATCTGATATAAGATGATGTATGTGCCTCGCGTCTACATCAGGGTGTACCAGGGAAAGATCACACCCTTGCTATTTTACGATTTAATAGAAGACTGTTAGGATGCCGTGTGCTGGTGTCCCAGGCACCTCATCATGGTTCTGCAGCTGAGCACAGGTACAGAAATTGTTGGTCTCTGAGAAGACAGAATTCACAAGGTTGCAAAACCGGGGGGGGGGGGGGGGGCCACAGTGCCCAGCAGCACCATGCTGTTCATTTGCTTTTAGGATTGCAGCATCTGCTGGCAGAACAGCTACCATTTCATTCTCTCTTCTTAAATCCCTGCAGAATATTCCTCAATGTCTCCCAGAATGACAACACAGCGCTGCGGCGGATGAACTTGAGGTCCTTCCTGATGGCCCCTCTGCAAAGAGTCACCAAGTACCCACTGCTGCTCAGCAGAATCATCAAGGCCACCACCGAGTACCACCCGGATCACGGCAGCCTGCGGGAGGCCAAGAGCCGCATCGAGTCCCACCTGGAGCACATCAACATGAAAACCAAGCAGGAGGGGAACACATGGACCCTCCGATCCTTTCGCCAGGACAGCAAGAAGAAGAGGGAAGTCATTAATATTGAGATGAGAGAAACTGCCCTCAAAACTGTTGGTTGGCTGCGGGAGGAAACGCGATTTGTGATGGAGGGGTCTCTGCAGCTGGCCCAGCCCCCCGATGGCCAGTGGGTGAAAAAAGGCAGCAAGACCCTGAAGTTCCAGAACATGCAGGTTCTCCTCCTGGTGAACATGAAGCGTGTGTCTGAGTCCAGCCTGGAATCAGCCGAGCCAGGGCCTGTGAAGGATGCTGTGCTGGTACTCATCAGGGACAAAAATAACGGGAAGTTCCATTTGCTCAGGGAGCCCTTGAGGCTGAGTAATTGCATTGTCTCTACTGATCCAGACTGTGACGACACTTTTGAACTCATTGAGATCAGGAGGGAGGCGTTTGTGTTCCGGGACAGCGACCGGGCACGGACTCACCACTGGTTCAGGCAGATCAGGCGGTACTCCAGGGAGCTGGGCTCCTGGAAGAAGCGGCGGAATGCGCTGCCCAACATCATGATCAGCACTCCTCACACCAGGCCCTGAGTCCTGCACGGGCTGACTTGGCTTGACCAATGTCATGTGCAGAGACCATCAAGAGCCTCAGTGGCTTGAACTTGCTGTGCTCCATGGACAACACAGGGAGGAGTCTGACCCCCAAAGACTCTTAACAGCACTGGAAGCACCACAGCCTAATGCTGGTCTCCAGCCTCAGGACTCACAACCAGTTTGTGACTCATGTACATACAGAGATGGTCTCCCCTCGAGGAGCAGATCACTAGAGGAAAATACTGTTTAACTTGTTGATATTGCACTGCAGGAGAATGATGTATGATGCTTGCCATTGCATGGATCGTGTTGAAAGCCAGTCTTGATGAGAGAGGTTTCCACTACTGACTGCATTTCATCAGCATTAGGTAAAGTCAGGGTCAAAATTAGGTGCAGTATTATGCAACAGAGGATGAAAGTTGAAGAAAATTATGTTTTCCACCACTACTCCTAAGGACTGTATTTCATTATTCACCTCTGTATATTCAGTCAAAATACTTGTTTAAAAAGAAAGGCCTTTCATCTTTAATCCACATCAAGTAGGTGTCAATTTGCTCAGATTCAGCTGCATGCACACAGCAAAAAAAAAAAAAAAAAGAAAAAAAGGCAAAAAAAAAGACAAACATAAATAAAAGGAGTTTTTGCTCTCTGACACATACACCCCACATATGTGTAGAACCTGTGGAAGAGCAGCATACCCCCACTGAAAGTCTGTTATTTAACTGACTTAGGGACTGGAACATAATGCTGCATCTGAAATATCTCAGAAGTATATGTAAATACAGCTCTGCTACCACTGATAGTGAACTTAAGAGTTTGCAATTATTTAAATGATGTAATCTAGTGTATTTCAAAATTTAATTGAAAGGAACAATTTACCTTGTACTGTAGAGTAACATAAAAGGTTTTAATAATTATGTTTCAATTACTTTAGGTGGGTGGTTTTTTTAAATATTTGTACTCTGGAGTATATCTTTCACATGTGGGTGGCATTCAGGTGAACAATGTGCCTACATCTACTCTGTGGAGGGGCTACTCCTAATGAGACTGGGAGATCAGTACAAACCTGCTACTCTAACTCTCACTAGACAGCAACAGACTGGCACAAAATCTTTTGCTCTGGCTGCAGTCCTGCCTGGGCAGGTCAGGTCTCAGCACACCAGACGTGAGGGCACAAAGCACTACCCCGTGAGGTCCAGCCTCTCTCAGTTCCTCAGCAGGGAAATGACTCGAAGCTGAACAATAGTAAAAAGGCAAACGGGGTTTAACCTTTTCAGCCTGACATTACCACTGACCGCTGCCTTGCGATTACAAGATCAGCAAAATGTCACGCTGTGACTTACACAGCAAAGGCCAGATTTCAGCCCGGGAGGCAAAATTAAGGGAGCCTAAATATTGGTTCATGGATCTTGGAGGACAGCCTGTAAATGTTCTTTCAGGCCTGCAGGGTAAAGACAAAGCCAATCAGTATTATTCAATACCAACACAGTATTTTTTTTACAGGCATTTTATTTTACAGGAGGATTCATACAAGCACATTCATGTATTTCTCCAGAGATCAACCAGCATCAGTGGGCACCACATGAAGGCAGACAGAAGCCACATTCTTAAAGGTAGCCCTAGTCTTGTAAAGTCACCAATGACACAATCCCTGAGCAGGCCTCAAACTGTGCCCAGTGCTTTGTCCTCTGGCCACAGCTGCCAGGGCTTGTTACACTGCTCCAAGCACTGAGACAGAGACCAGCAGTGAGACATGCTGTGTCTCACTGTATTTTCTCTTCATCTGCACCATCCAGCATTCTGGTGCTTCATTTTGTCCTAGAGGAAATGGAAAGATTTGCATCATCTGGAGGGTGCTCAAGATGTGAGGGTGGCTGCACATAGCTGAGCACTGTAGTGAGCAATAGCTGTCAAAATGCTTGTCAGGGCAGCAGCCTGGCTCCCTCAGGTGAGCTGGAATTCCCTCCAGCTATTTCCTAGTTGCTAGACAATAATTGTTTGTTCCCCAAAATACTGAACAGCCAGTGAAGAGCATGAGGCATTGCTTTAGTTTGCTGTTTGTTTTTCACAGAGATGGATGCCTGAGCAGAGCAGCTGCTGGAGGAAAATTTCTCTTATGCTGTCATGAGAGATCTGCATCTATGAACCTTCAAGCCCCATTCACCTCACACGTAAAAAGCAACAGCTTGTAGCACCTTTGTCTTCCCTGCCAGGATCACAATGGCACAGCCATCTTCTCTTCATTACCTCTGGGGCAGCTTTGACAAGGCAAGGCATAGGTACAAGTAAGTGTAACAGATTAATTTATCCAAACAGCAAGTGGCTTTCACAGCCACAAAAGCTGCTGCTTTCTGGAAAGTTTTCAATTACTTTCCAGCACAGTGATTTTCTCCACATCAATTCATGCTCGAAACCAGCTGTGGACTGTTTGTACAGTCATATCTTTCAATCAAGATACCTTCAGCCAGCCTGGCTGTTCAGAAAGGTTAGAGAACAATAAGTATACGTAAAAGGTCTGATATTTAGCATCGAGCTTGTGTTTGGCTGATTGTTCAATTTGTTAGATTCAGGGTATTTCTAGGTATCACAGGAAGCACCTGCCTGCCGGGCTCCAAGTAATCATGGCCTATTTCCTCTGAACCAAGCAAACTGTCCCCAGAAGAGGGTCCATAAATAATCACAGGGTGTTGAGTTACAAGCAGGACATGTACTTGGTGCTGTAGTCCTGTCTAAAAAACCTGTGGCCAGGGAACAGTACAAGCCCTTTGATCTGGGACAGCCTGCTAGGGGAAGCGACAGTGGGATTGTTGAACCTGTCAAACCAGACAGAGGTTGTGCTTCCAACACACGTGCTCCTTTTATGTATCCGATGTGTACACAGCTGCTTGGCTGCCTGTAAATTACAGGTGTTGAAAGGGAACTCGAGCATGGAACAATCCCTATGGCCCTGGAGAGCCCGTGATGTGGGGTGAGGCGGCACAGGAAGGGCGAGGAGTGCCAGCACACTGACAAGGCAGTAGATTTCCATAATCCTTAGACACCTTTCTGAACTGCATGATCCCACTCCTGGGACGTTCCAGGTCTTTCAGCATCACATGTACATGTCTTACTTGACAGCCATGGAGATTAGTTGTGCTGTATTTTTCCATTTCTGATTAACAAACTGACAAAATGCTATTATAACCCAGGGTACTTGGGAACGGGGTTGTCTGTAAGCCAAGAAAGCAATTATTTGTTCCAAACTCCATCATATTTTTATGCCTTTCATTGTCATGACTGACAAAGTACTAAGATTACTTTTCAAGACTCCTGCCCACTGAACTTACCCAGCTAGTACAAACAGACCTTTCTGGATGTACCACGTCACAGGGAATAAGAGAAAGTTAGTTACTCCCTTGATTTATCAGAACTCAAAAATGACCTTTAACAAGAATTTAGTATAAGCCTTACTGGTCATTTACCAGGAAAACAACAAAAGGCAGTCTTTATTTATAGAGTTCATATAGTTTTGAGTTCTGAAGGCAGACACACAAGAAGACAAAACACTGGATTAAGAGCCCCCTGTGAGCTCAGGTCCCAAGGAAAGAAAGAATAGCTCCTTTATGAGTCACGAGGCTGGGTGGGAAAGCCTGAAAAAAACATGGGGAGATGAAAAGCAAATACTTTAGAGGGCAGAGACTTCTGCTTTGGTGAACAGAGATCTCCTTTATGATGTCCTTGTACATTCCTGGTTGTCCTTAAGAGAAGTGTGGATGGGGAAGGGGCGTTCAGTGTGGGTCTCCGCTCTGTGATCAAGAACACATCTGAAATGGAGCACCAGCTTTGGTCTGGCAGCAAGTAGCTGTCACTGAGGACTGAGAGACTGACCTCAGCACATCCCAAGTTCTGAAAAGAGCTCCAAGACCATCTCAGATCTCCTGCCTTCACTGCACGTGAATTTATAACACAGCAAAAATCCCAGGAAAGCAGATTTCCAGCAGGAGATTCTGGTGAATCTTGCACTCTCCTGCTTGTCCCTGACATGCTCAAAGGGAAAATAATTTAAATCTTTGAGAACTATATCAAAGATCCCTTCAGAGCTCATGGATGAGGCAGCTGTAGTAACTCTCATTTTGTGATGTCAGCTGTGTCTCCTCTTAAATGCATGTGGGGGTGAGATTCAGCTGGAATTAGGTTGACATTCTCTGACTTGAAATTGGAAAAAACCTGAAACCAAAAGCAAAGGAGAAAACTATCCTCCCAGAGATCAGATAAATATTCAAAGCTCTCACTGTCATTGTTGAGTGACCTGTCACTACAGTGGAGTATGATGGAGCTAAAAGTCTTACTGATCAGGCAGGCAAAGGAAATGCCTTATATCTCTCAGGCTGCTGCAGAATATCAGTACGACTGGAGACAGGTACAAGCATTATTAAAAAAAAAAAGTTTTGACAATAACAGTGTACAGTCCAAAATAAGACATCTCCCTCAGGAAGTTGAAGGTGATCCACTAAGGGAAACCTTTCTACAGCATGATGTAAAAGTTGAGTGATAGGAATACAAAGTTCCTGTTCTTCAACAGATATGGAAGAACACTCTGGAGGAATCAGAACACAGGCAAAGCATCCTGCAGCACCGGTCTCTGCCCAGGCTTGAGCAGTTACACAGCTGAAAAACATTGAAAAGCTGGCATTAGGCTTTAGATCCATTAGCAGGGATTAATGTAATGATAATTTGCAACTCTCCAGCTCAAATCCTGCCCCAGTGTGATCTCCACTACTGCAGGCTTTGCATCCCTGAGAAATTATCTGGGCTACAAATGAGAAGATCCAGTCTGCACACTGGATAGAGACCTTGGGAAGGTTCTCTGCATAGAACCAGGAAAGGAATCCTTTGTTTCAGTGTAAGTGGAGCCCCAGTGGTTTTGAACTCTTCCCTCTTAGTGCAGGAGCTTCCCTTGCAGATCCTTGGGAGGATCCACATCAAACCTCTCTCTGGGTGGAGGGCTGGGCAGATGGGAGCGGCAAGCCTGGAGGTCACAAGAACATCACAGAGCAGATCCCATGACTGATGCCTGGGATAACCCAACTGTGCAAAAAGCACAAGGCCTTTATAGCTCTGGACCATTTCACATGGGCTAAAATCTTGGGTTGAAGTGACAATAAACAGGCAGTGACACCTGACAGGAGATACCCCTCTTACCTAACTCATGCCAGACCCACATCACGCAGACAAGAGACATATACCAGATAGGACTCTTCCTTCCAAAATCAAACACTCCTTTCACAACACTCCAGGAATTCAGGGGGGAGGAGGCTCTGAACAGCCTTTACACACTCTTCAGTAGAGCTGCACTGCAGCATTCAGCAACAGGCAACACTTTAATGAGGGAAGATGGACTGCTGGTGAGTAACGGGTCAGCATCCATGCACAGACCCCTGGGGTCACAGACCCCCTGCTCTCCTTAATTGCCTTAGTGTGTAATGAACTCACTGGCTGAAAAACTTGAGTGAGGCTCTATAGCACATAAGTTTTCACTTTCCTCACAGTGAAAAGAAGACAAATTATTTACAAAATAAAAGGCAGTTAAATTACTGCAAGAAAAATCAAAGTTTACCACATAGTGTTACAGGTCAAAGAATACTTAAAGCTGACACTACTTAAAGCAGGGAGAGGAGGAAGCCTCCCTCCACACACTGGTACAGCATGTGGAGGGACTGTGTGATGCACCAGATTGGGAGCAAACACTGCTGAAAACTAAAGATCAGTTCCTTGATCCAGTTCACTGCACAAAGATGTTTGCTGGGACCAGAAAAGGGCAGCCTGGAGGTGATAACATGTCCTTTAACAAGTGCCAGGTTAAACAGGTGGCTGGACCCTGGTTGCAGTTAATGAATTCCAGCAGGCAGAGCCCAGTTCAACAGCCAGCCCCAAGGTCTGCTCTGCATCCTGTGCCATGGAGGTCTGCTCACCCCTGCTTCCCAAACCGTTTCAGGTCACCACTTCCATTGATCTACTGGGCTTGAACAGGCAGTGCTATAAATAAGGAGCAGTTAATCAACTATTTAAGTGCCCTTTTTACTGAAAAAAAAACCAACAACAACACAGAAATGACGTCAAGATGCAAAAAAAACCCCAAAAAGCAAACAAAAACCAAATGAGTGAATACAAAGATGATCCAAGAGAGTGCTCCTGGGAATACACTTGAGGCTGAAGTGGCTCCGGGAACAGCCATGCTGGCTGTTGAGTCACTCAGTGCTCCTGCTCTGACTCACTCCCCTCCCAGCTGCCAGCGCTGCGCAGTCCATTCAGTACCAACAAGAGTTACTTGTTCAGAGTTCAAGTGCATCTGATTCATCATGAGCCATCAAGCCTCTGCAGTCCTTGGAGCTCACTGCCATTCCCTGCTGGCTAGCCTGTTCCCATTCCCCCTGGGAAAGGGAAGGGTCAAAAAGAGACATCTCCCCATCCTTCCAGGTTTTCCTTCTTCCCTCTGCTCCCAGCTCTGGGATGCAAACACAACTTATCATTTAGGATCAGGGTACTGTGCAGATTTACAGTCAAGGCCACAAGATCCTACAGGCTACCTCCTTGCTGCAGCCTAGAAAGAATTACTGGTTTTCTTTTCCCTTCTCCAGACCCAGCTTGGGAATGCACTGTACAGCCTGGCTCTTGCAAACGATGCTTTTTCAGAGGAAGATGCTAGGCTCTCTCAAAACCTAGGAACAGCAAAGAACAAGGTGTTTGCTAACACACTCCAGGAACACAACACAGGAGTGTCTCTCAGGCACTTGCTCTTCACAGAGCCCTAGACAGAAGGATCCCACACTTTGCACCTCTTAAGCCCTAAGTAAGAGACTTGCTCTTCCAGTTGACCCTCCCATGGTCCCTGCACTTGTGACACAGCAAGTGTCACATAGACTTGTGCTCTATGTCCACCCAGCTCTCGGAAAACACTGAGATGCAAGAGCTGGCAGATCTGAGATCTACTGAAAAGCTGCATTAGGTCCATGGGATCCTGTGTCAGGAAGCAGATCTGTTGCATGACCAAATGCAACTGGAGTACCTGGGACATAAGCCATGACAAAGCCTTAACTAACACCAGCCCTGCAACCAGAAACCTGCCCTGCCCCGTGGCCTCACATCCCAGTTCCACATGCCAGGAGTCCTCCAACCCGAGACACCCCAAACTGTTGCTCAGGAAACTTTTCTCTTATTCCCCTGCTCCCACACATTTCCTGTGTGACCTTGATCTGCACAGCTGTGTCTCAGAGCCTCAGTGTGTTGTTTCACCCCACGTCTCTGGTTTTGGCAGCAAAACTGGCTTAAGCTCCCTTCCTTCCTCCCACCTCCACAGAGTTAAATCCAGAAAGGTGCAAACAGTGGCACAGGGCAAGAACAAAGAAGAACTTTGAAAGCTGGTCTCATTGCCATAGGACTCAGGAAGTTACACCCTCATTTTCTTCAGTTGTGAAAGAGGAATATTACCATCTGGGTATAACTTAAATGCCAGTGTATCAGAACAGGGTCCCAGGAAGGGAAGCAAACAACAGACAGAGGTACCAAATGGCCAAAATCAAAGAACACATTTTATTGGCCAAAATAACCAAGAAATCATTTTCTTCCAATAAACAAATAAACCCCCCTAACTGAAACCATGGTAAATCTTTGCTAACAAACTGAAACACTAACAAACCCCACATAAACTTTACTGTTTATGTTCATCCTCTGGAAGTATTACTCCTCCTACAGAAGTTATTTGTTCTCCTTAACCCTCCTGCACCACCAGAAGTAGGAGAATGGAAAAACTCATTCAGGAAAGGAAAAGAGAAAAAGCACACTGGGAGCCATGAGTCTTTCCACTTACACAGGTGAAAGAGGCTGTTGGTGTTTGCAAACACCTTACATGCAATTACCTGAAACTAGTAATTTGCCCTTTTCTCAAGATACAAACATTTTACTACACAAACTATAGTTTTGGGGTTTTTTTAACCTCAGGACAAGGGTACAGTTGTGGCCTGTACAGGTTGTTACAACTCAGATGCTTCTCTATTCAGAAATCTTGGAAGTTAAAAAAAACATTAAAAAATTGGTTAGACTGAGTTCTTGAGGCAAATGATCATATTCAAACTCAGCATTTACTCATGTCAGTAAAAAAAATATCAGATAGAGAAAGCAGGCCTTTGAGAAAACCTTGCTCTCCATGGTAACTGAAATCTTGGAGGAAAGATAAAAATGAGAGAGAGAGAAAGAGAGAGATGTGCCAGACACCA